GATCAAAAATCGTCATATCGCACACCCCTAACTACCAAGTATAATCAATCTCACACACACAAACAAGCACAACTAACTCACTATTAAGCACACTATTAAGCGGCTGTGTTATGAACATGCAAAACTGTATCGCACGCGTGCATATATGTCACACTGTACAGCCCTGTAGTTATAGTTTTTGTTAATGTTATTGTTATTGTTATAGTTATCATAATAGCTATCATTATTGTTAAAGTTATGGTTATAGTTATAGCTATCGTCATCATTAGCACTGCAGTTATATATTATAAATGCAGTTATATATTATAGTTATCATTATCGTTAAAGTTATGGTTATAGTCATGGTTACAGTTATCGTTATCACTATTGTTGCAATTATAGTATCTATTGTTATAGTTACGGTTATAGTTATTGCTGTTGTTAATATTACTGTTATTGTCTTTAACTATTGTCTTTAGTTATATCCCTGCAATCAGTTTCACCAGAGACGAATTGCTGGACATTCGGAAGTACACACCACCCGATATTTCACCGGTTTTTGATTATTCTGATGTTTTGCTGGACATTGTTGTCGGCGGAGCTGCGGCGCTCTCCTTCAGGGAACGAGGGTTACCATACGTAACCGAGACATTCTCGCTATTGTTATAGTTATGGTTCTAGTTATCGTTATCACTGTTGTTGCAAATGTAGTTATATTTACAGCTATAGTTACCATTATAGTTATGGATCTAGTAATCGTTAACACTCGTTATAATTATATTAAAATTCATAGCTATAGTTATCGTTACAGTTATGGTTCTTGGTGTAAATGTGAAATGTTTGAATGCAGTAGCTCACGTGTGTTGCTGGGCTGAGAGTCCATGGGAATCATCATCTTGGTGCGCGTGGCCCTGCGGGCGGCTAACGATCGCTCTAACGTGGAAATGCTGCTGGAAGATTCATCTCCATCTGCACCTGAAGAAGAGAACCACATGACCTTCAGCTGCTGATGCAAACACACACACACACTCACAAACACACACGGTCGAATCGACGAACACCTCCGGAGGCCATGGCCTCACCTGAGTGGCTGCTCTTGCTGCCCATCTGGCTCTCTGATTGGCTGTGGCTGACCGGTGCCATCTCTTGGCAGCTCTGGGTGGGCGACTCGCGGCCGGAGGGGGCGGAGCTCGAGGGCTTCTCCATGTTCTTCAGCTCCATCTCCTCATGATGGATCCAGAGGTCAGGAGGTCGCAGGTCTTTCTGGCTGCCCTTCCGCTTCCCCGCGCTGTGTGTCGCACGCTTCCTACAGGAACACAGAGAGACAGAGTAGGACAAAGTTTATTATATTATATTATATTATATTATATTAAATGTTTTGTCAATGTAAATCAAGTGGATATTATAATTGAATCCATATCAGTGTCACTCTAGTCGGATCATGTGATCTATCTGTCTCTCTCTCTCTCTCTCTCTCTCTCACACACACACACAAACACACACACACACACACATGCACGCACGCACGCACGCACGCACACGCAC